TCTGCTTCCCGGGTTGTTCAATTAGGATGGTTCTACATTGTCCCTGAGCTGAGCATCCGCCACATAAGATGCCTGGCATGAGCATACATCGCAACCTCTGCTTGCTGCGAGACATTGCTCAGCGTGTACCAGCGCACAAATCGGCTTGCAGCTTCAGTATATTTCCCCACGATATTAAGTAGGCTTCTGTTGATGCTTGTCATGACTTGTTTCAGCAATTCAGCAAACCAAAGCCATTGTAACCACTTCGCAGGAAACTCGCTTTCACAAATGCCAATTACCCGTTTCTGCTTTCTGCAGCTGCAAAGGTGGCTGATGCCAGCGGGGTCCTTACATTGGATCGATTTCAAGCAGGCCTGCAACCAATCCAAGAAGGCTTGCAAGGCCTGCTCGAAGAGCTGCGAAAGGCCAAAGAGAGGAAACCAAAAAGTTTCTCTAGAGTCGGTTCCACGGAAGCTCAAAAGCTCCTGGCCCAACTAGATTTCGCTGAGGAACTCGGGAATCTCGAGGATCCGATTCTCCCGCCATCAGATACACCAGAAGCAGAAGCTTTCGATTACTCTCTCTATCCCAATGAAGACTCTGGCACTCCTGCTCTCCTTGAACACCACCGGCAACAGCTTCAGAAGTATGGGGTGCTTTTTGGACGGGGTGCTTTCCAGATGTATGACATTCATAAGAATAAGACACTATACCTAATCACTGCCCCGGATGAAAGTCAGTTCACAGGCACTGCAGATGGGCTTCTGGCGCCCTTCGGGCTGTACCCTGAGTCTGCCGCTAGACAGTGCAGAGTGCTTTTTGACCATAAGCAGACCGAAGATCAGAAGCAAAGCTACAGAGAGAATCACCCCAACACCGCTGGAGGGGTAAGTTGATGTCAAGTTGCTGAATTGTCAAATCGATGAATTGATCATTACACAAATCAACCCTTAGCACCCTTGACCTTACAGATTGTGGTGGTACATTTGCCTAGACACATTCACCCGAAGAAACGCACATATAGAAGACTTGCGCTGCTTAATGAAGGCTGGCCTGCAAGTCTTACTGAAAGAGATCGTCCCAAAGACAAGAAAAGAATTGTCCATGATAAGCATTTTCAGCTGCAGTACTGATCGGGTACGAATGATGAAGCTTTCTTCTTGCAGTCTGGCAAGGATGCAGGACCTCCTGGACCAGTCCAGTATGGGGCGCACAAGGGACAGGTCTTGGTTTGCTACCTCGCGTCTTTGGCAATCAATTCGTTCCCTCTCATCTATGACCTGTGCGATGGAGAGACACACAACCTGCTCCACTTACGAGACGGTTTCATCACAGTCTGGGAGGGCTTGAGCCCAACGCAAGCATACTGGAAGCTGTCACAGCTACTACAGCAATTTCCGGAGGCCACTGAGAAACGGCTGCGTCTGGAGGCGATCCCGGAGGAGTTTCAGGTGCCTCTGAAAAAGCTGCGGGTCCTTGAGCCCTCGTCCGGAATCCTGGAGCAGCTTGAGAGCATCTTACCTTTCGTGCCAGAGAGCGAGAGAGTTGCTTGTACCCAAGAGCTGCTTGCCCCATGGCTACAGTCATCTAGACTCCCAGAATCTATCCTTCACATGTACAACTGAGTTTGGTCTAACCTGTGTCTAAAATTAGAACATCCATTTGGGAGACTATCAAGGCAGAATTGGTTACACTCTGTTTGTGAGAAGTACCTGGTGTTTGACGGGTTGATGCAATTTGGGGATGTGAAGCTGCTTCAAGCTGCTACTTTGTTATTCGTATTTCTCTCACCAATTTTGAGCATGAGTTTGAATGGTTGCGCTCCATCAACCCGCATAACTACACGAGAAAGCCGCTTGAGCCGTAGTGTATATCTCCTTGCTACTCATGTTGCAAGATATCCGGAGCTTTTGCATTCTCAAAAAGTCAACGGTAGATGTGATTCGACCTCTGAGCGTTGGTTATAAAGAGAATACAGGGATCACTCATATGCACGGAAGCTGATCTGATATGTATTGTAGATGCTTCTAGTAAGATTCGCATGATTCAGTAACGTCTTTGCAAATTACGTACATAGAAAATCGAAAATGGCAAGGACTCACATGCACTTCAATTATAGCGTGCTTTACTTGTTGATTATAACATCTTTTGATTGCACATGCGCGCAGCTAGATCGTGAACGGCGTCCAGTACTGTGCAAAGTTGATTCATGAAGAAATTAGCAGAGATATACTTTTCAAAATCGATGTCACCTTCAACGCTGCAACAGTCCCATGCCTTTTGGATCTGAACCTAGGGTTCTGAGTTTTGTTCACCATGCCGATCATATGATGTGATTCGTTTACATTGCCTTGTAATTTTCAATCGCCGAGTCATGTACATTGCTCAATATTCGATTTGAATACTTGTATGTTGCTCGATCTATCATGGTTGATGAACATTGACAAGTGTACATCAACCAATCATTTGTGTTCCTAGTCATGAATTTTTGGATCTACATCTTGCAAATGCATGTAGACGATTACCAAGCAGATGTGTCTCCATCTTGATACACTTTAGACGCGGTGCGTCGGAGCACTTGTTTACGTGCGGTATCAGGCCGGTCGGGCGGTCGCGCAGGTCTCAAATGCGCAGTTGGCGCGACCTATTCTAGGTGTCCCATATAATAGCAGCCCTCTACATCTCATGCAACGGGACACCAAACTTCGGGGTTTCGAAGGTGACCCTACTGAGATTCAATCGGACCGGTGTTGGTTTCCGGGCAGTTAGCCGTCTGGACACTGTCCTTAAGTAAGCAAGCAATTTGCCTGGAGCCCTGACCCAATCCAGCCCATCAGTCTACTGGGCACCCGGGAGTCAGCCCCCTCGAGCATAGGCTATGTGCCGTAAGTTGTATGCGCACCGGTACCGGTGCAGACCGTGACTGGACCGGGTCAGACTCACGGTCGTTCTCGGTCACGAGCCCGAGTCTCCAGCATAGACGCCACTGCTAGTCTCCAGCATTGTGCGAGCTGCCAGCATGCCAACTTAAACAAAAACAAGCTCGCAATAGCACAGGATATTGGATGAGCGGAGCTGCAAGTGGTTAAGTCTCGGTAATGCAGAGGCAAGGAATGAGTGGCCGAGCTTCCAAAAGGATTTCACTCGTCCCTATTGTCAAAGCAAGACTGTGTCTGCAATGCTTCCGTTTGTGGCAGTCACGTCAGCGCGACACATGGTTTCCTGAGCCAGGTCCAAGTCAGGTACTCTGCCACAGCTTCCACTGGCATGCGTTTTCTGTTGAATTCTTCCTTTGATACAACCAGGCCAACTTGAAAATCCATTGGAAGATACAAGCATTACAGGAAGAGTGTGCGCTTCAGCCTGCAGGATAAGTGTTTTGTTCAGCACGTCTCTAGGGCTGCACGCTTTTGGCGCAGACTGATCCAGACAATCTGCTTCAGAATTGTACGCTGTCCTGAAGCTGTGTACAGCTCTGAGCTGAATTGAGCATCAGTATTTCTTTACTGTGGGCAATTCAGTCCTTCCTTTTGTGTGCTTGCAGCGGTGATGAGCGGCGCTAGTGCTTCAAGCTCACGGCAAGAAGCTGGCCTTGTGGACGGTCCAAGTCTGATCACATGGTCTGCCAGGCTGCTCGCTTTGCACGCGCTACAAAGTATAGGGAGCACATATGTAACGTTTGGAGTTCGGTTAAGACTAACCATCCATCCGTTAACAAATATGCCAATCTAACTCGGCATAGCTCAAGTCTGATGTGACTCAATAACAGGCATTTAATTGTCTTAGAGTCCTCATCATTGGGTTGTCACTGTCGGCGTAAAAGTCGAGGACAAGCCCATGTGTCTGAATGATGAATGGCATGTATACATACTCTGTATGGTGCCAAGTCGTAGTGCAAGTCATGACATGTATGCATGTTTGACCAATGAATGCGTGCTTAAGCCTGCTACATGGTATGCAGCATGCTAGAGGGTGCACGTTGCACTACTACGGTCTGAACCTGATGTTGACTGTGTAAACCAGTGCATAGCTTATTGACGTTGACTAGAGGTATGCATTAGGGCAGTCTGCGGACAGCCCTAAGTAAGACTGATACTCTAAGATTCGCCATGAGGCGTACTGCCTGGGAAGACAGAAGACTGAAGGATTGTGAAGCGGGGATCATTCATTCGAATTCCCAACCAGCAACACAATTCCTACGAACTCAGGGAAGATCGTTTCTGAAGAGCCGCACCCTCGAACTGCAAGCATATCTGTGAAGGCATCCATGATTCCGCCATGGCTGCCCTGACGTGAGAGCGAACTAGCACGTCCAACATTACACTGGTATCAGAGGGCAAAGGGGCATTCCTTCGTTCATCCTGGTGAGGGCGTTTTGGGCATGCCAGTCTCAGAAGGAGAGGGTTGCTGCTTCTCTTGAGCAAATCACTTCGCTGTGTTTTCAGATCTCTGGGTTGGCAACAGTGGTTGTTGAAGACGAAGGGGAAAAGGCAGTGAGCACGTTTCCAACGTGTATCTCCTCCTCCGAGTCGCGATTAACTGCGACGTCACCACCTTTTGTTCCAAAAGAAAAGGAGAAGGTTGGTGTTTCTGATTCTGCATCTGTCTGGTAACCCCTGTTCGCTCGGGATATATTGGTGCTCTCACTAAACCTAAGCCTTCTGTTTCTGCTAAGGTTGGGGCATCAACTTCTGGATCATCGGATATGGCTGCTCCTATGCAACATGCCAATACGGCTCCAGCATTCCTTGCTGCTTGGAACGCTGCCCCCGATGATAATGCCAGGCAAGCGTTAGAGCAGGTTGCTCTTGCGCATGGCACTACTGCTGTGAGGGTTGAGGCCTTGCTCAAGCGCGATGATAGGTCGCGAGCTGATATGGCTGCCCTCCATGCATCTCTGAATGCGGCTACGGCTGCTGTGAACGCTGCGAACGCAAATGCACAGGCCGCTCAGGCTGTTGCTGCGGCAGCTACTGCTTCCGCCTTTAAGCCAGCGACTCCTCCTCGTTATGAGAACAAGGATAAGGATATGGAGATTCGCAAGTGGCTTCCTGTTGTGGAGGATTATGCCAGGACCTGCAATGATGTCGATTATTTGCGCATTGTCAGCTCCTTTCTGCATGGCAAGCCGAGGTCGTACTTCCAGTCGAAGTATGATGCTCATAAGGCTGCTAACGGAGGGAATGAACCGGATGATCCCCGGGCATTCTTCCGCGAGACCATGATCAGTGGATACGGTCTCTTTGACCAGACCCAGGTTTACTGGGATAACTGGAACAATCTGAGGATGTTGGGCAATATGGATATCGGTGATTACAACATCGCCTTTACTCAGTGCCTTACTGACCTTGGTGATCAGATCCAGGGAGAGCAGGTGAAGATCGAGAAGTATCGTCTCGGCCTGCAGTCTGATATGCGCGAGATGGTTCGCACCTCTCCCCAAGGCACTCGCTGGGAGACTCTGCAGGCTCTTATTGAGTATTGTTCGCTCCAGTGGCCTATTGTGGCTGCCAGGATTGCAAAGCGGACCAAGCATCCTCCTGCAGCTGGGAAGGTGGGAGGCAAGCGCAAGTCCAGTGGGGGTGGAGGTGGCTCCAGCTCTAGGCCCAAGTTGGGGGCAACTGGTAGGCTCTCTGAAGAGCAGAGGGCCCACAATCTGAAGAACGGGCTCTGCCATATCTGTGGAAAGGCAGGTCATATGGCTAAGGATTGCCCTGATAGGGATCCTTCTAAGCCGTTTGACGAGAACAAAAAACAGAAGAAGGGCAAGAAAGACTCTAAGGATTTTTAGAATCTCTAGGCAGTACAGGACGACTTCCTAGAGTAAATCCTCAATCTGCGTTGCTAGATCTTACAGTGGGAGACTTCCTGGATATTTCAATGACACTAGGACGTGTATTTGAAATTGGAGTTTCTCATACTAAAGGAGATTTGGCTACAGATTGGAGTCCTTCTTCTCAGTTCTTGGCCCCTGTGCTAGCAGGAAAGCATGTGTGGTTGAATGCTCAGAATTCTACAGAGATGTCAGAACGTCTGAGGCAATTTCATTCTGCTTACTTGTCTAGTCCTACTGACACGTCTGCTTGTGTATTGATCAGGCAGAGTGCTCCAGTAGATCTGCATCTGTTGAAGAACTTCGTTGAAGTACTAGCTTTGCCTAAGGGGTCTCCTGTTCGTCGTTTGTCTGACGATGGAGAGTGGTCTGTTGTTAAGAGTCCTGAGAAACTGCGTGTTCTGTATCTTGCTTCTACCGTTGACAAGGTGTCTGCAGAGGCGGGACTTATGACAGGACGCATTCTGGCAGCTTCTCGTAAAAGGGCTGATGGGTCACCTGCCCTTCGGATGATGTTTGCTGCTCGTGCCGCAGGCACTAATGCGAATATCTTGTTTGACAGTGGTGCTTCGCATAACTATGTGTCGACCACGTTTGCCAAACTAACGGGCATCTCGGTTAGTCCTTCTTTGCAGAAAGTTCGACTCGGATCTGACCAGGAGGTAGCTCCTGATGGCGAGGCGACGGTATATGTTCGAATAGGGTCGTTTCATAAGCCAGTCAAATGCCTTGTCATGAATCTGTTGTTTGAGGTAGATATGATTCTGGGAGATGAGTTTATGAGCAAGTATGATCGCATCTTGCATTATGGCCGTAAGTGTCTTATGATTCAGAAACGAAGAAGACACATTACTGTCAGGACTCCTCCTATGCACAGGGAAGCTCCGGAAGAAGCCGAGGCTGTTCCTAATGTGTTCTCTGCCTCGCAGAACTTTGAAGAGGGCTGTTCGGCGAGGGGAGCGTGTAACGGTACGGAAGCCGACCGCCTTAGCCGCTCGGCTATGCATCCAAAAAGCTGTCGACTGGATGCACACTAAGGCGCTTCCGTAATTTATATATCGATTTTGCGTCGGCCGTCCGCGCGTCGCGGCCGGGTTATCGCGTCGATTTTCGTTCCGCT